GACCGATTCAGACTTTTCTGAATGAAAAAATTATCGAGAACAGTTGAAGAGCAACTATTTTTATACATTCTGGTCTTAACTGCACGTTAGAAAGTTTAAATGTAGCTGAGATATTCAAATTTTACGAAAAGCCCTAAAAAAATCTCAAAAATTGATGGTGATAGTGAAGATTATTATGGATATTTATATGAGAGAAATTTGATTCACAGTATCAATATAAACGATACGTTTGGTTTTGATTTCTTATATTAAACAAAATAAATGGTATTTCTATCAGTTATTTTTTTATGTGATCATAAATGTATGATCATGAAGATGATATTGTATGTTAACACAAGCGAGAGACAAACCAATCCTTTTTCATTTGTGATAGATAGAATGTTGTATAAGAAAAGGTTAGCGAACGCAACGAGTTGAATCATTCTTATTCTTAATTTCCAAAGTTTCGCTTTATTAAAAAATTATTATCAAAGATTTATCGATACAAAATTTCTTTTTCAGACTGGATGAGAAAAATCTCTATATATACTACTGTACAGTTCATTTACTTTTATTTTCTAACTATTTTTTTGAGTATTAATTCACGTCATTTAGACATTCAATTACTCTCATTTCAAGTCAAAAATAGCGGACTGAGTATGTCAAAAAAGATGGTTAGACATTCGAACGGTTATTTACGATTAAGAATACGACTGGCTACGGTCAACTGTAACCGATACATGCCTAATTGAGGCTCTTATTTCTTCTAAGTCATCTTTCTCGTCATTAGATTTCTTCTAATTCAGCCAATGGATACCCAGTTCTGGTCCTGTCAGAAATTCGTGTTCTACTAATCGAAATAAAAATTTTTGACTGGTCGATCGAGAAAAAAACCTGTTTTCGTATGAAAAATCCGTACTATGGCGTAAAACTGAATTAAATAAATGAAACGTTTTTTATTTCAGATTAAAAAAATTTGCGTCGTTTTCTTTTTTCATCAAAAGGCTTCCAGAGTACGGTCGTTTTGGAACCAGCAATCTATACGATGGGAATATTCCGTTCGTTTTTCTATGTTTGTTGCAGAAGTTTCTGCTAAAAAATAAAAGAGAATATTTATTGAAGTAACAGATGTGAATATTCAATTAATAGAGATGAATACTATCTAAGAGGCGAATGGTACTTATGGTATTATAGTGCTGAGAAACAGGGTACCATAATAAACATAATAAAGACAATTAGGTATCTACCAAGATTCCACTGAAAAATAAATAAAAAAATTATATAATACCAAACTGTTCTAATCTGTTTGGATACTAATCAAGCTATTGGTAACTGCATAATATGTTTTTACTCAGTTAGTTATTATGATAAATGTCGTCAGTACTTCGGTACTCAGAAAATAATAATAATAACAACACATTCAGATTCAACAAAATGCATTATATTAGCGAACTGTAAAAAACACTAGATAAACTGAAGAGTCAGGCTCAGCATAAAACTCAAAATATCGGCAAAAAAGTCTTCTTATACAAACATTTTTCTTTCGTTTTTTTAGAGACCCTTGACTGTTTAAACAAACTAGCAGACTTGAACTTTGACATATTAGCAAAAAAAAGCAGTTTTGACAGATACAATTAAGCATAACTCGCATCATCTTGTATCGCAAAAACAACCTTTCAAACGCCATTCAGTTCAATAAATGTGCGCTCGGTAACGATTGTTGTTTAATTTAGTTAATATGAAAAATTGGAGACTATGTGTGTGTTATTACAATATAAATATAGAATGTAAACTACAAAAAAACCTAGCAGGAGGAAAAAAATAAAAATAGTGTTATCTGTTGTTGTTACTGTTAAATTATCAACCTGGTAACGATGTTTTTGATTTTTCATCATGCAGTTTTCGTTCACGCTCTACTTCTTGTTTTCCTTCTTTTGCTCTTATCGACCATGCTTCATACGCCTGACTATACTTTTCCAAATCGCCACTTTTTAATACCACTGGTCGTTGAGTCATCGATTTCTTTGTTTTATCAACAATACTATCTAACTGAGGATCTAAACATTAACAACAAAAAATAGCAATCGAGTGAATAGTTTATAATTTTAAGTATTGCATAAGCAAAGAAAACTAAAACTTCATTCACAAATACGTGTAACGGTTATACAAGAAGGGAGATAGACATTAAACAAGATTAGTTATTTAATGATTCCATAAGCAATCGACAATGTGTACTAAAAATTTGGTAATAAAAAACATATTAGAATTAAACAAGTAGCTTAAAGGGCAAGAAACTAGCGTATAATTCTCAGAAACTTCGTTAATATGACAACGGCACATACATACCTTTAAACGTATATTTTGGTAATGTTAAAAGATCTTCTGTTTCTGCACCGTAGGCATTTTTCAATTTGGCCAATGTATCTTCTAAACTTTTACGAACTTCTGCTGTAGCATCGACGAGACCATCTGATGTTTTACTAAAACAAAAGTAAACAATGATATTTTCGTTCATTATAAGCTTACAATTCTTAATAAGAAAAAAATATACCTTCTTTTCTGATAATACTCTCTTATTTTGTCAACAAATAATTGTTGGATGGGATCCGTTTTCTGGTACACAATCGATGTTAAGCCCAAATTTCGGCGAATTATATGATGGTTCAACGGTAGACGACGGGTAAGCAAGGACATTGCTTTTACTCTGAAAAAATGATGATGTATCACACAAAATTCCTACTTCATCAGGACTCTTAGGTATTTCAAACCAACTTAACAAACGATTGCTGTAGATTCGTGTGAAACAAATATCATGACAAATATAAGAAGATAAGTTAGATCTTAGCACAATTTATAGTATGAACGTAGTATTAACACAACTAAAAGGAAAATTGTTCTCCTCTACTTGTGGCTACTAACATAATTTTAATGAGGTAATGGGAGAAAGAGTTGATAGAAGTTCTTGCTTCTATTCCAAAAGAAAAAAAATTAGAAAAAAATTGATGTTCTTAAAAATTAGTGTTTTCTGGCATTCTAGTATAAAATTGTCGTTTCAGCTGTGAGAGAATCTCAGAGTGAACGACGCTAAAGCAGTATCGAGAAAGTACGGATAAATAAACTAACAGGAAAGAGTTGAAATACTCGAAGAGCGCTTCCTAGGAACAAATGATAATAATCATCACAAATAATCAAACAATTGCATGGATTGTGAAGCCTTGCTCCTATTTTCTGGTCCAATAAGGTGAAGGTATGATGTTCACGAAAAAGATAGATTCACTTCTAAATCTAGAATTTATCCTATTCAACCAATGAATATTTGATGTGGCGCCACTCTTTATTATTTCGTGAAAAATAACACGAAACGAAGAGATTTTTTCCCATTTAACACAGATTTTCTTATTTGGAATTATGTTTTTATAGCGACTGATCATAAACAAACTACATCTGAAACATGCGGACATCCCCTAGGTTACCAATGGAAGAGACTATAATAATGAAGAAACGCTAGATAATGCGGAGGTGAAGATAAGTCATCACCAAATCCTACCACCAAGTCGCCAGATTCTACGTGTTTTGACGTTAATGGCTGCAATTTGGTGATGACTTTTCTGCACCTAATGCTAACTAGAGTGCGGCTTAAACACGCGTGTACGTTTTTTCAACTTTTGGGCTATGTTTCTCCTCAAATACTGAACAAAAGATGACGATGTTCCTTTGCACATAACTTATTCAGATAAAAAAAGCTAAACAGACTTTATATAATAAAGACAAGATAATAAAAGATAGAATCACACTGCTTTGCTGGTTGATAGAGGAGTCAGACAAAATGAATGCTATAAAATGTTCAAGTTTGAACTTGATGTTGCAGAGAAAACAAACGTGTTTTGTGTAATGAGTTCCGTAAAATTTCCTAAACTTTTATCATTCTTAAGCTTTGGACAAATCTTCTTCTATTTATAGAACAAATATGATATTAGCAAATAGATGCAACTTTATTCCCAGTAAAGTTAGTATTGCATTTTTAAGGCGGGTACCAAGCATACAAAACTAAACAAAGATCAAAATATTTGAAAGATAATCAACTGAATGAATACACAAATTAATTTCATTTTGTATCACATACACTTAATTATTGATATATTATCTCTCAAACGGAAAAACTAAAGATCTCTATAGATATTCCTTACTTGTATACTGTAGGGAAATATATTGCATAAAGATATGTACAGAATGAGTATATAATGATTCTATGATCAATTAATCCAATCATAAATTAGTATTGAATAATTTATTCCCAGGCATCAAAAAATAATCTAGTATTGCGTGATTCATCTAGATTACTGAATTTTTACTCGATTGCAATTATTTAGTAACGACAGTGAAAATCTAGTAATCGGACGACTGCTTGATTTCTCCTCAGTTGCAACTATCGATTTATCGGCCGATAAACGATCAGTTTAACTATTGCTAGTTGCACATGCAGACGCATCTATTTAAAAGTCCATTTTTCAACTAGTAATCTAGATGACAGCTAGTCGTGTATCGCCTGATTACAGATGAAATGCATCTAAATTTTTCCCATAGGTGATGTTTGCTTGGGTTAACTTAATCCTTCGTTAATTCTGCTTTCTTCATCCAGTGAACAAATGAATATTGTCTGACAGCAATATTATCGATAATAAATTTCGAACATTTTCATTGATCTATCTAACTAGTGGAAAACAACATACAACACTATATTTAAAATTTGTAAAACTTAAACAAAATATTTTTTATTCTATCCGTGTGAATAAATAAAATAATAAATAATGAAACAATAATAATGAAATAAATGCTAAAATCAACATGAGAAAAGTTTTTAAAAATCGTCGGCTTAATTATGAGTTCAAGTCATGTATAACAGGAACTAAATGCTGTATCAGCAGCACAGTACTTCACAAAAGTAGCACTCCTCCTGTAACTGAAGAGCGATGGACTTCAGCGATATCATCGCGATATTGTCAGGGACTTCTAATTTTGTGTGGTGATGGTCCTTATCAAATGGTGTTCATCCAGCAAGCTTAGGTCTCTTTTATCGGTTGGTTCGGTAGATATAACCCTTTCATTTTTTTTCCATAAAATGCTAATAACTACTGACCCAAGAAAGATGAAAACTTTTTATTTTGTACAAATGTAGCCCTAACTTTCTTCTGTCTACAGTATAAATTTAAAGTGTTAGCTTTTAATAGTTACTGAAAATGATGTAAAAATATAATATATGCGTACACTCTTCATCAAACGAGAACTATTTCAAGAAATTTTTTCGTTCAAGAAATACGTCTCAAATAGGAGCGATGAATATGTAACCTTTCTGATAAAGTTTCACCTACATTTTTTCTCGCCATCGGTTTCCGTGATTATATTTTTACATAATGAAGCTTGCCGACTGATCAGCATTTGATGACAGCTATCACTACACGAAATTAGAAGTTCCTCGTTATCATGGCTCCTGAGTTACAGAAGTTTTTATTTTCATGGATGTGATTCCTCGACGATATTGTGAACACAGACGAAAACCACTTTAATGGATTGAATAAAAGAAAAATCATAAATATTTACTAATTATTATATGAAAGTGTCGACAATCTTGCTGATTGTAACCAATCCACAAAAGTTCAAATAAAAGTAAAACGACATCGGTGAACATGGTAGAAGCTTGTTAGCTGCAGTGAAGATATACCGGACCAGGGCTCGAAAGAGGCGATACTTTTGAGACCTGGTCTGCCTGCGTCAGGCCCGTAATGTTTAGATCTGCCTGGGCCTGTTGATATATTTCCTGAGCCTTTCCGGTCTGCCTGCCATTGTTCTCGGCCTACTCTGGCCTGGTCTGTAGAAGCCTGGTCATTTTTTTAATAAAAAAAATGTGCAAATAATAGTAACATAAGATGAAAAGAAAAGTGACAGATAATTAAACAATATATCTGAGTAAAAAACTTTGGTTTTTGTTCAAGTATTTTCTGAACTGACCTAACTAACAAGATATCCTCAGCCGTGTCAGGATTTAGTTATGCACGATGTTCATTAATAACCAGGCTAGGCACCTGGTGTTTTCAAAGGTCTGCCTGAATCTATTTCAGTTTTGACCTGGTCCGCCTTAGCCTGGTGCAGGCCGAAAATTTGTAGCCTGGCCTGGCCTGGTTCGAGCCCTGTACCGGACTACTTGAAGTCACTACGTCAGCACCATACACCATACTGTTAAAAATTTGTGTTCTTCACAAAAACAAAAAATAATGATCTTCATTTAAGTCAGAGAACGAAAAATAATTTTTTTAATTATTTGTTCTGTATAAATAAAAGCATAAAGACATTTAAGTATTGAGAAGAGAATTTTAATTTAGTAGAAGAGAGAACGACTTGAAGTATGGGCTTCGAGAATAAAGAAGAAACTCTAACTACTACGATCCAATTGCTACCACCTTCTTTGGGAGGCTTGCTCTCTTTTAGGTATCTGCCTCAAAGAGGTTTTACTTGATTGTTGCCTTATTTAAACATATATAGGCTTTAAACCCCGTCTGTGTGTTGCCTTCGACCGTTGATCCATCCTCTACAAAACTCCTTTAAGTCTACTCTATAAACGTAACGTTTGTGGCTTTTGTATTTAGATGTTTTGTTTTTATTTTTTATAGGCCCACAGCGTCAACGCTTACCACCACACAGTAGTTTTTCTTGTAATTAATCATCACATTATATGGGTTATTTGCTGGAGTGTAAATAGCTAATGCGTTAGAGATCGCCTGTTATTACAGGAATAGGATTTAGTGTAAATTAGGTTGTAATCAAGCATCGTTACGCTTTAAAACCTTGTTTAGCATTCGTAAACATTTAAGCATTAAAGTGTCTAAGTATTTGAACATTTAAGAATTTAAGCAACTGTAAATCATATTGAAGCATTGTTAATCCCTATCTAATCATTGTTTGACACTATTTAACCACTGTTTGAGTAGTATTTAAGAATTGTTGAGTTCCGTTGGGCGTTGTTGAGGTGTAATTACTGTTGTTGGATATATTTTCGCATATGTATAATATTTAAAAGATTATAGTCTAATATTAACGATATTAATGATTTAGATTTTTCTCTAACATTCCCAGTTTGTAGAGGACACTTCGAAATATATGTCCTGAAGCTTTTTCGGCTTACTGATATTATTTGGCTGAGAAAAAAATTAATTACTTAAAAAAATATTATTAAATTTTTGAACAAGGGGTTATTATTGAAAAAATTCCTGTCCATTCTATATTCATCACAAAAGCTTGGTTCTTGCCTAGATCGATAGAGACATATGTGAAGAATATTTATTACGAGAAAATATGCAAGAATTTTTGTTCTTTCCTTCCTGGTATTTACTAATTAGTACTAATTAACGTTAATTTAGCCTGCTCTACTAACATAAAGTCTTATTTGTAAAATAGCGACGCAACAAAAAAATTCAAGCAATGCCTCATCTGGCAGAGAATTTCACGGGCTACAATATGGACTACTTTAAAAATTAATTCATTTTTGGTCGCTCGGTAAGTCGAAAACTTAACAATATTGTTTTAAGTAATTCATTTTTTTCTCCTCAGCTAAATAATTTCAGTAACCCGAAAAAGCTTTCGAACATACACTTCGAAGTGTCCTCTACAAACCGGGAAGGCTTGAAGAAAAAATTCAAAACTTGAAAATATCGCTGGTCTTTGGCTCACCGAAGATCTTTTTGCCTAACCTTACAGCTAGTTTCGCCCGAACCAAGCATTTTGAAGCAAAACTCTGAGTGCAAAAGTTGTTCAGAATCGAATTTTGGAGTTAGTAACGAGAGCCCTTTTTTAACATTTTCTGTTTCTGACTTTTAAATTAAATTTTACAATTTTCAAAATTTTAAAATTTCATATTTTTCAATTTAAAAATCAAAAAAAAAAAATGTTAAAAAGGGCTCTTGTTACTGTCTCCAAAATTCGATTCTGAACAACTTTTGCACTCAGAGTTTTGCTTCAAAATGCTTGGTTCGGGCGAAACTAGCCGTAAGGTATGGTGAAAAATACTTTTAGCTGCTTTGAAGTTTTCTCGGGAAGGTGAACGTTAAATTTCTGCGTTAAACTTCATTCTGGAACGATGAAAAGGGTTTCTCCTTATACAAATTGATGTTCTCTATCGAAGTACGCTAGAATCAACTCTTCATATCAAAAAATGAGGTTTTTGTTGAAATTTTGCTTGAACTGAAAAGGCGGATTCAATATAAAGCAATATTGGTACAAACGTTCATTAATCCGATGCATACGCGTGAAGCTCTAGACATTTAAATGAGAATTATAAAGATATTAAGATTATTGACATTGACGATAACTATCTGAATAATTTGAATAAGCTTAAATGAAAGGTTCGTTGCACTCACATGTGCCACTTTTGGATTACAAATGCTCTTTGATACTATGGTCCACAAACTGACGAAAAATCTAAACAAGAAATTTGTGATTTTTGTGATAAATACATAACTACGTATTTTCCAACCGAAGAAGATGCAGAACAACATCATTTAACAAAGAAAGTTCAAAATCATTCGAACAATCTCGTTTGCTCTCTATCCGCCTCTAGCAGATTCAGATTGGATACAGTTTGTCAACGAAGCGCAGCGCAATTGCTCTCTAGTTTTATTTTCTTCTTCCTTTCGTCTCCTTTTTAGATAAAATGTGTACCTCATGATATGATATCCTCCTGTTTCGTCCTGTCTCATTTCGTTCCGTACTTGTTTCGTCCCGTTTATTTTCTATCATTTTACTCATTTTATAACTATTCATTTTTTTTGCTATTTTATTATTTTATTTACGAGTTACAATGAAACAGGTAATTTTACAGTATTAACACATTTGCCACATTTAATTGCAAGTTCAGTTTTACACAAAGCACCATTTTCATATCTTTTAAAAATCTTTCACAAACAGTCAAATGGAAGAAAGTCTACAACAGGTGTGATAATAAATTGAAGAAATATTTTTAAAAAATATGAAAATGGTACTTTGTTTGGAACTGAACTTACAATTAAATGTGGCAAATGTGTTAATACTGTAAAATTATCTCTTTCATTGTAACTCGTAAATAAAATAATAAATGTAACTTACAAAGCCATGTATTAATTTCTTACATTATCTTAATTAGTTATATTAATATTAATTAGTACACAGTTGTTAGAAAAAAATGAATAGTTTTCAGTTAGAAAAGTTCTGGAAAAGGTAAGATATTCTCCCGACATTGGAGATTGATCAATGCACATTTCTCTCTCAAATAAAGATCCATATTCAATGCTATAAGCGCCACAAGTAGAAGAAAAATGTATTTTGGACTTTTTCGTATATTCAGTTATCCGGCTAGAAATTTAATTTAAATGAAAATGTGGTTTTGTTAACAAGAGAATGTTAGTTTGCGAGGGAGAGAAAAGAAAAGTATGATAAATTTAAAAAATAGATTTGTTAGTTAAAAGAAGACGCAGTATTAAAGAAGAATTACAGTTATCGTTAATTAAGATTATTGTGACTATGAAGAAAAAGAAAGAAGATAGATACATTCACGGGAAAAATGTGTTTTGATCACCAAAAGTGACTTTTGATCCCCAGATTAATTAAAGAAAATATATACAAGAAGAATATATAGCTATTTAATAGCAAATTAATCAGTGGACAGTATATACAAGACAAGAAGAATATATATAGAAAAAACTAATCCCTAAACCAATTAAAGAAAAACTATACAAGAAAAAACTAACTTTATGGCAAAAAGGCTGTACGAACCATTCTCGAACGACCTTTACCTTTTCTCCTACCCAATGGTTTACAACGCGTTTTGTCCGTGACCTGGTACATGTTGAATAAAATGCCTAATCCAACTAAATGTTTGCAGGTATATGTTGGATTTGTATCGATCTGGTCAATGGGCGTCATTTGACGATTTTGTGGCATGGCAGACATCATGTTGGTTAGTATCATCGCTTACATCGTATACATGTGAAATTGGCCTCAAGCAATATACCTGCAAACATTCAGTTGGATTTTTCTTATATACTTTTCTTTAATTTAAATTTTCTTTAATTGGTTTGGTAATTGGGTTTTTCTATATATATTCTTGTTGTATATAATATTATCTTTGATTAATTTGGTGATCAAAACAATTGATACCCTAAATTCAGTATCAGAAAGTTTTATATCTCTCCTTTAGGTCCTTTAGGTATATAACGAAACAAGAACTAATGGTCTATCATTTCTTGTCTCGACAGTTGATTCCTTCTGTTCTTATAGGTGTTATTATACATTGTACTTCCTAGGCCTATTACTATTACATTTGCGCATCTACTATGATGGAAGGACAATAAAACGTTCATCATTATTAGTCGTTGAGGATTCTCGTTGACGTTTAAAGCTTCACTGTAAAAACGATGTGACCTTCGTTCTAGTTCGTCAGAAGTCTTCCTATCTATGGTCAATAATAACGTTACTTTGCTTCGTTTTTAGTTCGCAACTTAGATGATATTATATTGGATAAAATGAGTACTCAATCAATAATGCAGCATAGTTCAAATATAACAGCTGCAATACTCAAAGATCGTTCAGCCTACGTCGATTCTCTATTGAGAAAACATATAGTTAATCATGATATTGGTTTGCCAGTAGTGTTACTCTATTCAATTTCAATTCCAGTTGGTTTACTGGCAAATGTGGCTACATTAACTGTCATTTTACTCTTTCGTCATATGCAAACACCGACAAATTTATTCATATTTAATTTATCATGTTGTGATCTTTTCGTGGTAATATTTGTTATGCCCTTCGATCTAATGAACAGTATCGATCGTCATTGGAATATGGGACTGTTCATGTGTAAACTTATACCTTATATAAAAGCGATAACGGTCACGGCAAGTATTTACACTCTGTTTGCTATATCAATCGAACGTATCTATGCTGTGAAGCGTCCTTTACATGCGCGTAGTGTATTGACGAAAAGTAATGCTATTAAATCGAATTTATTTATTTGGCTATTTTCCATGTTACTTATGGCAGCCGTTCCGTTTGTACGAACATATTCTAATCCGTTCTCATCCACAGCATTCTCATCAAATATTACCAGATCGATTTTTTCCACTACTGGAATGGGTATTAATATTTGTTTTGAGCAATGGTCGTCGTCACTTTTCAAATTGGTTTATACCATAATAATCTTTATCTTTATCTATGTTATACCATCGTTGACAATATTAGCTGCGCATTCATGGATAGGCTTCTATATTAACGTTGGACAGTCATTTCGAAGATCTTATTATCGTAGTGAAGGTGTACAAATAACTTCTACAACCGGAAGAAAAATTTATGGACGCCCGTTAACATCAGCTTCAACGACCATCGGCTCAACACTTTTTAATCAAAAAAATTATTCAACAGTACCACTTCGTTTTGTGACACCAAATTCCGAACTTATTCGAACAAAACAACATCGAAAATTATTGCGTATGTTAATAATCATGATATTATTATTCTCATTATCTTGGTTACCTTATCATATTCTCAGTCTTATTATGGAATGTCAATCATTGTCAGAAAAGACAATAATAACAAAAAATTATTATCACGTTTTACTGTACGATTACGCATTATGGTTGGGTGAATTTGGATCAGTTCTGAATCCTATATGTTATGGAATTATGTCCGAACGTTATCAAGCATGTCTTATAAGCCTATTCAAACATACTTGATCAAAAAGAATAATTAAATGTACATTGACGTTTAGACCACACTTTATATTACGAGCTAGTCAAACGCGGTTAAGAACCGTTCGATATGGTCATTATGACGGGTCTCAGTAATGATAACTAAACATTCATAAAAATTTATCAGAATTTTGCTTTTTGCTAGGAATTTTGTAGTTTTTTCTTGTTTAGTCACTTTTTTTGCAAAGTGTGTACGACGTGATCTAGAGAATTATGTAACGAAGAAAGTTTTTGAAAACGGTAGGAAATTCTCTGAGTACCGAAGACTGACCATTGTACTTTCGTTTTTCAAACACAAGTCGATATTAGGTGCCATAAGCTGTACGAGCGGAAGAAAAATGTGTTTCGGACTCGAAAGTTTTTTTAAGTTCATTAGCATCCGTTGTTCGGTGCCATTTATTCTTGAGAAGAAAAATAATTCTCTCTCATTTTTGTTTCTCTGTTCTTTATATTTCGTTGTTTTCTATTCTGTTATTCTCTCTAATTATGTCTTTTAAAGTTGCTGAAATAGAAAATCACAGTGAAAGCGGTGCAGTGGAAATCTACTGACTGAATTGATAACTTTTGGCGGCTGTCAGCAGAGACAGAGTCTGGCGACATCACAACTTGTGCGCAACACAATTGGTCTAAGTTCTGGAAACACGAAATCATTCTATGATTACCAAAGGTTGACCAATGGGCGTTTGTAACGTAATAACAGCGAAAGTGACGTAGTTGAAACCTACTGGCTACGGATCACTTCTGGCAGGCTCAGGTGGAGACGGGTCTGTCGACTTCGCAACTTATGCGCAGCACAATTGCAATCTAGTTATTCTTTATGAAAATGAAGAACTAATTTATTGATGAACAAAAACTCTGCTGAGGAACAAAAACGTGAAAACAGACTGAAGAGCATATATTCTGTTCTTCAGTTTTCAAAGAACACATTCGTGTTCTTCACCATGTTCTCCAAAGAACGGAAGAACACAGATTTTTAACGGTGCAGCACCAGAGCCACACAAGCAAACAAGAGCATCTTCCTTTCTCCTTCTACACCAAAAAGTAGAAAATAAGCAATAGAAAATAATAGACGGTTTTCTAAGAATGTCTATATGGTTTTGTTTAAGATTTTCCAATTTCTGAAAAATCTGAATTGCTAGGATACTTATGCATTTTTCATAAAATCGATATTGATTGTATTGAAAACCGTCGATTTTGTTGAAAATCAATTTCGGTTTTAGAAATTCGAAAACTAGAAATTTATCGGTGAAAGTATGTAGGCATTCTCAGAAAATCGGAAACTGGAATTAATTTTCATCAACTAGGAGATTGTTCATGATTTGATAAATCTCTCACCATTTTCTTGAATAACCCATAGCACTGCGCAATACACATATTAAGTAGAGATAAGAGCATTTTTCTGTTCTGCGCGAAAGCTGACTCGAGAAAGAAATAAACATTCTTAAGCAGCCGTTTATAACGAAAGTGAGAAGAAGTGAAGTGAGATATTCAAGAAACAAACTTAATTTTAGTCGTGATTTTTACTCTCTATATATGCCTTTTTCATAGTCTCTACTGGTCAGTCGTACAAGAACTAGTTGTTTTAAATTTATGAAAATTTATGAAGCGATTTTTCAGGTTAAAGAAAATTCTTAAACATTTTCTCATTTCTAGAAAATCGATATCTCAGAAAAACAAATGCATTTTCTATAAAATATAAAACGTGGACTTTTTATTTATTGTAAAATACTCAACAATCCTATAAAAATTCGAAAATGCTTGACAATTTTATGATCGATTTTTCCATTAATTAGGAATTAATTTCTTCTAACGGTAGAGGCAACTGAATTCTCTTGATTGTCTATATCAAATCATACCACAAATTTACCGTTTATCGGGGTGTATCATATTATTTTACACCGTGGTAGAATAATAAATGCAAAAAACACTTGTTTTGCGTAATAATAAAAATAAATTATGCATTGATAAATACGACGCGACAAAGAAATCGTGGAAAAAGTGCAATGAGCACCTTGGCTAGTATATTTAATTCCCTAACTCGTCTCGATGTTTCCAGATGGCGATGCATTAGTTAAAATGTACTGCGTAAGAGATGAGAGCTACTGACTATGAACTGATGCTGTCAATACGAATATTTAATACGAACGAACAATAGTCGCACAAATATTTCAGGTACTATCAAATATTATACTAGTTGTCGTCATTTGCCTCTACTTGTACCAGAGTTCATTTATATGGACGAGACATAAAGAAGAAGTTGAATTCCTGTGATATGGGTATACTTGAAAGTACACTCTAAAAAAAAAAGCGTCGTTTACTAAACCCAAAAGGGGTTTAGCAAAATGCAATGACACGCTACCGCTTCAAAAGTTTAGTAAAAACCCCTTTAAGGGGTTAGTACGCTTACTACC